CTAAATGCCTAATCCTAACTGTAAACTAACCTTAACCCTAAAACCACATTCTGATCATCAAATAGCCTCTAAAGGTTTGTCTGAAAGTTACAAAAAGCTTAAAAAAATATAACTCTTTATTTTAAGGTCTGTTAATGAAGCTGTGCAAGGCTGCACTGCATAATGCACTAGTACACACAACTCCTTTTTGCACATATGCATTTTAGTTTAAAGAAAGGCCTCTGTTGAATTATGAATGACCATATGGGTAGAACTGAGAGCTAAGAGGGAAAAGAAAGGAAAAAGAAGCAAAGCGGAGGAGAAGGATGCAAAGGAGGGAGGAGGAAATAGAAGCAGACAGATGCCTATAATGAGGAAACACTACTGCGCCTTGCCTCAACCCATAAACTGTCAATGTTGATCAGAGAGGGTGAACAGATGGATAGAATCACGGGAAAAGAGAGGAAGAAAGGAAAGGTGAAAAAAGATGAAATGAGAAAAACATGACTGGATTGAAGAGAGAAGGGAGAGAAAAGGGGAAGTGAATTTAAATTGGAGATAAAAATATGGTTAAAATTTCCAAAAAAGGGAGAAAGGGTGAGGTGAAAGGAGACGACATGTCGAGAAAAGTGCAGTGGGAGGTGATAGACGGAGGGAAAGGAGTAAAGAAAAAGTAAAATGAAGAACAAGGAGGTGAAAAGAGGTTGATTGGTGAGAAAAGGGAAGAAAGGAAAAATGAGATTGTAGAAGACAGATGAAAAGGGATTGGGAAGAGAGAAAAAGGAATTGCAAAAACCGAGTGTTGAGGAAAGGAAGTTATGAGAACAAGTGGGGAGAGGAGGGAAAGTGTTGAGTAGATAGGAGGACAGGAGGCTGGTAGATTAACATTTATTTAGTGTGCTGAAGGGATTTCAAACATGGCATCAACCGTTTGTGTTGGCAGATGGCCGGAGGAAGAGTGTGTTAACACTTCAACTCGAATCAGCCCTTTCCAAACTGTTCCAGAGAGAGAACAAGAGAGGAAAAAAGAGGTGGTAAAAGTATGCATTAGTGTGTGTATGTGGAAAGGAGAGAGAGTGCTGCTGAGAAGTCACACATAAGGAAACGTCCTCACAAGGATGGAACAATTATCACAGCTGCCTCAGAAGAGATTTAAAAGCTTAGAACTAGAATGTTGGCTTAAATCTCACAAAGCCAGACCACAAACTTAGGCTCCATTCACAGTGATCTCTGAAGGTTCAATGGGCATTTGTTTGGGTTAGAGATGCTGTCACCGTGATGACACCGAAACGACCTCTGAGACAATGAGATCAGATGTTAACTGATAAACATAGATGTCACTTGAACTCCTAATTTGGTGAGTCTTAACATAAACCCCTTCCTGCTGCCACTTATAGGGCTTCACTGAAAACTGATTGCTGATTGAGTTTGGAGTGGTGAATGGGATGCAGCGCTGCACAACTGTGCTAAAAAGCTGTCTTGTGGTCTCAGCATCATGTGTAATATAAACTATGTTTAAGCTTGAATGGATTCAAATTTAATCAAAGTCCAACAAGCAGAACTATATGTGTTTATGAACTTTGTTAAACGTGTGAGCTTCAAAGCAAAATGCAAATAATTGGTTTCAGAAGGCAAGTCAAAGTTTAAAATGATGGAAGAACCTTTTACTCGTTTTTAAAGTTTGATCGTTAGCCAGTTATTCTGTCTCTCAACACATTCCTTGTTCTCATAAAGATACAGAAAAAAGTCATTTCCCCTACGGCCTTTTGAAACATTTTCCCAAGAAAATGAGCCTTTGTATAATCACAGAAAGCAAGATGGACAGTTTCCATTACTAGGTCCTTGTAATTAAAGGATTTATACTAATAGCAAATTTATCATAATTCCTGTTGGCTATCAAGTCCTTGACAGGCTATTTCATTTCAGCACAGTGTTTCATTTTAAAGCCTTCAGGTTACAACAGTGTCTTTGCCTTGACATCTAAACCCCTGTAATGAGATATGTACGTGCACACTGATCTGAGTGGCCAACACACACACACACACACACACACACACACACACACACACACACACACACACACACACACACACACTTAGATTTTCAAAAATAATCTTCTGGATCATACTGGCCATGTGGGTAAGGCAAAGCCACACATGCTAAAACATGTAGATACACACCCATAAGGAGCTTATTAAAACTTTAGCCAAACAATATGCTTCTCTTGTTCAAACCTAATAGAGGTCTGAGGTTGCAATGTACAATTTAACTAGCAAGCACACAAACACTCCTCTACAGAACATCCAATCAGACAAACATCATTCATGCACACACATTCACATGCTAACTCTAATGACCAAACACAATCACATTTACGTTACATATCGTATGGTCCCCAATCTGAATATCATTACAGCACTCTGTCTACGCTCCAAAATAAATGTTAAGAAAAAAAAACCTTCTCTCTGAATAAAATAGGGGCTGGTGGCTTTGATCATCAAGGATTGAAATAAATCCCTCTGCAAATTCAGAGTTATTTTTTACATGTGTATCAGACTTACCAAAGACGGGGATATGAGTTTTAGTCGACTTTGATATTGTGTTATTAAAGAAAAAAAAAAAAAGGGGGGGGGGGGGGGGCTGGCGATATGCCAAAAGATGGTTTTCTTTCTGCATAAACTTAAAATCAAAATTCTAAATTAATTTTTTTTCTTTTAAAGATTATAAGCCTTTCCCCAATAATTTAGCATACATGAGCAAGAGCATCCAACAAAAGAAAAGCACCAATAGTGAGTTTATTATCCTTTCGCTTTATTATTGCAATGATAACAAGATAGCAGCACTTGCAATGGTTTCATGTTGTGTTATTTGGAAATTCTGAACAAAACAAAATGACACAAGTAAAATAAGGGACATGCTTACAATATCATATATTTTAAAATGGTGAAAGTGCCAGTGCAACACTGCCTTCTTCCAAGAGATTGATCTTAATAGTGTTAGAAAGGCATAAATGTTGCAAGGCTAGCAAGCGCTTTCATTTATAATCAAGCTATGTCGCATCCAGACACTGACAAAGGTGACCAAAAAAATATAATAAAAAATAAAAAAGCTATCATAAATGTTGAGTTTAAAAAAAGACATGCTAAGAATCCAAGACGATTGTTCTGCCTGACCAGAGAAACTCTAAGTATGTGACTGATAAATCTGATATTGGTTTACACAAAAAAAACATCTTTTTTTTCCAAGTCTTTTTTTTTTTGGCGAAGCAGATGCTGAAAAAAAAATAAAAAAAATAAAGTTGAAGTCCTATATTAACATGCAGTCTTGAGTTTTTTGTTTTTGTCTTCATTCCCCCATTAATTTAAATGGTTCTGCTGTCAGAGATCAATGTTTCAGTATAATTGCAGTAGCGTATCATAAGTAGCATTTCTTAAAAGTGGTCTGGTCAGTGTGTTGACCCAAGTGGACATCTTTCAAAGCCCAGTTCAAAACCAAGTCACCAGATAATTCCATCCATTATCATCCATGGGTATGTCATCCATTCCATCGATGACATACCCAAAGTTTGGTGGAGTGAGGAATACTTGTTCATAGGTCTGATTGTCTGATTGTTGCGGTTTTTTATATTATTGTAGTGTCTTTACAATATAAAGCTCCGTGAGATGACTGTTGTTGTGAGTTGGCACAATGAAAATAAAACTGAATTGAATTTCAAAAAAGGTAAAGGACACTTTAAGGGCATATGGAGCCCCATAAATATGGACTTGAGTTCTGCAGCTAAAGGAGGGTGTCCTCCTTCATGCTGCAGCATATTTTTGTACCTGTTTGTCTTCCTAATAATTTTAAATATAATGAAAACTTGCTATTGATGTTATTCAAACAGTTTTGATGATGATGCATTTCAGCTACAAACAGAACCTCACAGCAGCCATAGAGGGAAAAGAATTTTGTGGCAATGCTTTAATACATCAAGCACACTCAATGCAATTAGTTTCACAGAGACAACTATTTGTTCAGATGTTTTGTTTCTATTTTTGTTTAATGCGTGCATATGAGCCAATCCAAAAGCGATCACAGGAGACCACTTCCCAAAGTGGGAACTACAGGGGGCCCATAGAAATCTGGCTCCTCTGCAAGTTACCCCTGAAAATATGACTTATGAAGTTCTGGGAAATATAAATATTAACAATAGTCTCCTTCATCACCATGTATTTATATTTACTGGTATTGTAATTGGTATTGTAAAACTCTCTGTCACAAGTCACTGTGGTGCTGTGTGTACAGCAGTGTGTACTTTTTTTAATCTGATTTCATAGAATTCATATTATTACTCAGGGCTTAATTTATAAATCAGGTGCTCTTATACCACAGAGAGGGTTCTGGTGGGCGAGCAGAGAGAAAAATTGATGGAATGCAAAAAAAAAAGCAAGACATATGCTTGCTTATTAAACAAATCGAAACCAAAATGCCATCATGCAGAATTTATTATGATTATGATTATTATTATTATTATGATTATTATTATTATTATTATTATACACTTTACAAGTGCGCAAGTAGCAGAGATCTGCTCTGAAATGCACTGGAGGACACGTGTATGAGTGTGAGCAAGGTGTGTGAGGTGGAGCCGCAAGGTTGAATGCTTGATATTTGTATTTTACCAAATGGTTCATAAATGAAATCCTGTGGTTACAAATGAAACACAGCACACCAAACTAATGTGAAGCTTCAGGCTGGACAGTTAATGGAGAAACATATTTGTACTGTAGAAAAATCCAACTGAAGAGACGGTTACATATTTAAGCCAATATTCAAACCAAATTAGTCAGTCAAAACAAACACCAAGGTAAAAATGGCTAAAATAAATAAATTAAAATAAGCAGTATCAAATAAAGACTAAAATAAACCACACTAAACCTCACAAGGCCAGATTACAGTTCAAACTTTACTAAATGCGTAACACAGCCACATTCAGCAAAAAGTACTGCAGGAGTATTCATTCCTGTCATTGCAGTACTCACAAGCGATGATGTTGCCATAGCGATTCTTGTTGCGGTTCTCATCCTTCTTGGCTGTTTCCCAGGGTGCTGTCTGTCCCTCTGCCAGGGCCTAAACATACACATGTCCACATGCATGTGCAGACAGACAGACAGACAGACAGACAGACA